CTAAAATCCTTTCAGAGGATAGGAGCATGCATTTCAAGTGGTCTTCTCTAGAAAGAGATGGGGTTGTAGTACTACCTGGGTAGTATTTTGCTAGTGCTTAAATACAGCAGACTGTTGAGGGTTTTTCTACCCTTTGTCAAACCAAATCCTGCTGTGACTTCACCAAAAGTGCTTGTGTAAGTGGGGCAGCCCTGGTCGTGTGCTGATCTTTGTCAAGACCTCAACACAAAAACAAATTAAAGAGCTGCAAGATGCACATATGCCTGTCCTCTGCCTTTGATGTCCACAGGGCTCTTCCACTTTGCACTGGCTCTTCAGGGGAAGGTTATTCTTACTCCCAAGTCTCCATGCCTTTGTTAAATCCCTGATGACTCTCAGTGCGGGCTCACATGTGTTCCCTGGCCAGCTACCAGGAAGGCCTCCTACAGCTTGTCCACACTTGGCAGATAAACACCCATGGGAGGCATGGCCCTGGGCTCTCTGCAGTGTTGCATGGACATGCAGGCTGTACCTAGAAGATGTGCTGTGTCTTTGTAGGTCTGCAGCAATGGGCAGGGTCTTTGGCTCTGCCACATGGCACCTGGAAGGTGGTGGTTTAGGGGCTGTGCAGGGATGGTTTGCTGTGCCTGAACTTCTTCTCCTGCATGTCACACACGGGGTCAGCATGTGACCAGGCAGCAGTCCCTGTAGCTGCACCATGGCCATGCCTTGAGCAGGAGCACTGTTTGCTTTTGCCTTGCCCTGCAAGACTTATCCTGACCTGGAGAGATGGCCAGGGTTGTGTTAAGGTGCAAATTATACCACTCCAGTGTGCTTAGGGCTTCAGACAAGAGGAATTTAGGTAGCCCCCTTGTCCTTCCTTGAGTTTGCTCTTACTGGGGCCGCATGAAGCGCCTGATACGTATTTCAGGCTGCCCAAATGGGTCTCTGTCCTGATGCTCTGGTGGCTTATGCAGTCTTCCATTTCTTCTTTCAGAGCTGGGTTGCTGTGACACTTTCAGGGCTCATCTCTGGAGAAATCCTCTTTTGGAAGGAGTTTCCAAAGTGATTGACTGTCTGGGGTTCTGTTTGCTTGCTTAGGAGCTCCTGTCCCAAAATCACTGAGAAAGGTGCCTGAAGCCACTAATGGCACTCTCTTAGCCAAGCATTGGCTTAACACTCCAGTTTTACCCCTGTTGTGTGCAAACATTGCCTTGTTCCCAGAAACCTCTGTTGGCTCCTTATCTGAATTGGGTGATGTAATTATGCCTCCCAGCCCACTATTGCAATGGGAAAATGGGTTCCTCTTGTTGGAATTTTCAAGGAGCTTGCTCCTTGGAGCAGCACACATCAGCCTGTGTGGGAATGGGGTGTTGGGGGTGTGTGTTTTGTTTAGTGTTTTTCCCCTTGGCTACACAAGCAGCTAAAACCTGTAACCTACAGGAGTTGGAAGCTTCATGCAGAAAATTAGCTTAGGTTGGTAGAAGAGTTGAGATCGCATTTTTCTTGGCTAATTAAAGGATTAAAGGTGCAGAGATTTAGAGCGAACTGTCAGTGTGCTACAGGAGAGAGCCTTTGATGGTTGAATCCAACTTGAGATTAAACAAATTGTATTTAAATAAGAAATACATGGCAATAGTTACAGTCTATCTGGGCCTCTCCATTCCTTGGTGTCCTTCGGGTCAGGTCGATGGTGTGCTGTGGCTAGGGCTTCCTTCTTCCCACACGCTTCCCTCTGGGGTGTTTGAATCTGTTGCCTCTACACTTTGTAAAATTGGGGGGTTTTTTCTTCTAACCCAGTGACTAGTGCAAAAGAGCCTTGCACTCTCCCTTACACAATGATGAACTGCTGTCCGTTGTAGCAGTAGCGTGGTCACATGCTTGTTGTGTTTTGTAGTATCTCTGATCCTGTTTAAGGTTTTTCTGCATCCTGGTGCTTTGCTGTCTGCAGCTGGAGAGCTAAATGTTTACTCCTGTGAATTTTTTTCTGTTGTTCAGTTGAGAAGGTAGTCAGCTGGTTTAATGGTGTCTTCCTCTACATAGTGGCTGGTAAAATTCTAGAGAGGCAGTGAACTTGTGCAGGTTCCAAGCTCTTGACTTCTTTGATTCCACTTGATTGTCTTTGATGGGCTACACTTGCAAATGGCTTGCTAGTGCTAGTCCCAGCCCTTCTCCTGCCTTTTCATTTGGATAACATTACTTTCAGAGCTGCTAAGGGGATGCTTTCATGTGTTACCCTTGATAGCACTTGCAGTGGTGCAGGCTTATGAGATTGATGGTAGCTATCTCAGAACAAAGCTGGCTTTCTGCTAGGGCAGGAATTCATCTGCACAGCCTGCTGCAGGGCAACAGCCTGTTCTGCCCGTGGAGAATTTGCACCTTTCTCTGTGCACCACATATGAGCTGTAAGGGAAATGGGAGTGCCAGACAGTGTGAGTGAATAACTTCTGATGTTGCAACTCTGTCTTGTTTTGTTCCATTTTGTTTTACTCCTTTTTAGCAAGGAAGGGGCTTGCCTTTTGTTACCTGCCACCTATATAAGATTATGAGGGGGTTTTCTTTCCTTTTTTTGTTGTTGTTGTGGCGATTAGAGAAAATAACAAAATTGAAACTGGTAAAAAATCTTCTGGGATTCCATAATCACTCAAAAACATGGCATTACTTACTAATTGGGTGTGGTTAGTTGGGAAATCTGACTTTAAAATTATGTTTCCCAGGGAACTATTCCCGTTCTCATTGTTATCCAGTAACAAAGACTGCTTTTTCGTTGGGAAAGCAGTCTTGCTTTGAATGGGCTAGGTCTGCTCACAAAGCATCTGTTGCTTGGGGTCTTCAGAGCTTGCAGTTTGCAAATGAAGCAGTGCAGAGTGGTGAGGTCTGCAGGGACAAAGGACTGTTTGGTGTTTTCCTTGGAAAGCTATCTTCAGGTTGTGGTTGCAAGGATTTGCATCTAAAATCCACTTTAATTCCTGTTATATTTCCAGTTAGATCATGCAGATGGCATTATTATCTTTGCTACCAAGTGAAATAAATCAATTGCTAGGTATTGAGAGACTTGATGTAATCTATTTCCAATAATTTATAGATCTGTTACTATGTCATGGAGTATTTGGGTAGTCATTCCTTTGGAGTTTACCTAGCAGGCTTTTGTAGATCTGCCTGTGAAATGCATCCAGGTCCATGCAAGCTCACTTTATACGCTTGTGCTTTCTTGCTGAAATTTCAAAGCAGCCTAAAAATCAGAGATCTGGACTATGCCGTGTTCAAGCCTTCCATTTCTTCTGTGGCATGTTACTACACAATTCCCTTTGGCTTGCATGTCCACTGGGATGTGGTTTTACGTTCTACTCTTAGGGAGCAGGAAATGTAAAACTGAAGATTAGTTATTTCTCTGAGGGGTAGGAAGGACTGCTGCTAACATTTTCTGAACTCATTGCTAGCCCTCCTCCTTTTCTAAATGCTGCTCTGTGGAACAGCTTTTTTCCCTTTGCTGCAGTTGTACAGTTCCAGGGACATGAGACAAAATGAAGGAGTACCCCAAACCTGGTATGGGCTTGTTGATCTTCCAAGCAGAGAAGATGCCACAGCACTGATCTCATGGCTGGCCAGGGGTGAGGTGCTGTGTTTTTGAGCAGGGAATGTCCTGATGGCTGCTGCAGCAGCTCTGCTGTGTTCCTCAGCATGGAACTTGATGAATTGTTTCCCACGGTACGTAGGAAAATCAAGGTCTCAGTTCAGTAAGGCACTTGAGTGAGTGCATAACCTCTAGCACGTGAATATTCCCAGTGAAATCTCTTGGGTTCTGTTGGAGTCAGCAAGGCTGCTCCCAACCTTAAAGGTAGGCATCTGCTTAAACACCTTGCTGAATCATGTCTTGACTTTGAAAGTAGGCTCAGGAGAAACCACATGAGTTGACTCAAGGACTGTGCTTAGCTAGGTCATTGAGGATGGAAGGAGAAGGCTGAGGAGGAGGATCTGGGTAAAATAGAGATCCCAGAACTCTGCAAATGCTGGTAATAGCTGACTTTCTTGCCATTCATCCCCAAAGCTTAATTGTATGAATAAAAGGTTTAAAGGTTTGACTTAGTCACCGTTCATCCTAAATATTCTGGAGCTGCTGTCATGCTTTATTGACCTAAGATCTGAGTTACTGCATCTTTGTTTTCAGTAAAACTATGACTTGCTCAGTTAGGTTTAATTTTTGTCTTTCCTAATCTTTATGTTTTCACTATGACTCAGATCTAGAGTATGGCCTCATTGGGTCAGTAATTCCAGAAAACAGAGGCATGTTTGCAGAAATGGTTTGGTTCAGTCTCGATTCTCTGTTGTCTAGGAGAAGGAGAGGTCACTTTTCTGGTGGTCTTCATACACAGGAAGAACATTTGTTCCTTCTTGGTGTCTCTGTGTGAGTTTGTTGCCTCGCTCACCATCCTGACCAGAAAAGCTTTGCTGGTTTTTCACTTTAATTATCAATGAAATGCTCGACAAGCAGGAGAACAATATTTGCATAGATGTAATTCTGGAAGTTGAGCGTAATGTGATCAGGAAATGGGACAGGCCCTGGCTGTTATCATGGAAGAGGCTTGCTGGTACTTGCACTTAGTTTAAAATGAAATAAGATCTGACTCAGGATAGTTTCCTGGACATTAACAGAGAAGACTCAATGCCATTTTGGCAAGGGTCTGGCACTATCCTTTCTGCACAGGAACAAAAGAGATCTCTGGCAAATTCATAAATTGGTTCTGAAAGGGCTTCTAACAGTACTCTGACGATTTAGAGGGAAATGGTCTCCCTTGGAGCAGAAAAGCAGGGGCGTGTGTCTGTGTTTTCAGGACTTTCTTTTTCTGAGATAGAAGCCAAGGAACAAGGCGCTTGCGTGCTGTGCCAGTGAAATCTCCCTGGGAAGACATGATGCTACTTGCAAGGTATGCACAAGACAAGACCAGAGGCGCCGCAGTGCTTGATTACTGTCAAGGACTCAGTTGGAACTTGCCTTTGCTCTTTGGCCTGCAGCATTTATGTAGAAATTGGGGACGCTGCTGCTTGCTTCCAAAGCTTTGCCTTGATGGGTCCTGCCCACATCTAGGCAGGGAGGAAGGAGCGGGGGGGCTCAGAACCTATGAAGTAAACAGGAAAATTACTCACCTTAATGATGCATTTCACTGGCATTGCCACTTTGAGAGCCTGTCAGATTTAATACTTTCTGTCTTCCCTTCCATCACCTCCCATTGGTGTGATTAATAGTCTATTACAAGGATGAAGTGGAGAGGTATCTGCACCTTCCCTCAGGTGGAATAAACAGGAGGGGAAGCAAAGTGAGTAGGAGAAAGGGGATCACCTTTGTCCATCTGAGCCATTTGGTCTTTGTTGAGAGTGCACATCCAGAAGAGTACTCATTTACTGACTTGGTTGGTGGCCCCTTGATTTATTCCAGTTCATAGGTGAGCCCCTTGACCTCCCAGTTAGCTACCAGCCCTGCTCCATGGGTTGCATTGGCCAGTTCCCCACTCCAGAAACGGTCAGCAGTCCTGCACTTGATCACAGCACAACAGCCATAGCACTGTAGGAAGGCAAGGAAAAAAATACAAATTATTTGGATGTGAAGTTCTTCAGGGATTATTTGCTCTTTTTGTAAAGTACATTGAATCTGAAACCTAAGTCAAGAAAGAACAAATAGGATAGAAAATGTATCTGGGCAAAGGTGTTTAGTATGAGAGGTCACAAGACACTAAACCTGTTTTTAGCTTGGAATTGGTTGAACCTTCTTTCCTGTATCAGAACGGTAGAGCAGACTGGTTTGCATCTCCTGTGACCCTGTCCTGCCCCAGCTAGGAAGATGGGCCAGTATTTGACGTAAATACTCCTACCCTCGCAATGTGCTGACCCTGTGGTATTTTACAAGTCGGCCAGTCCTTTGGCATGAGCCAGAATTTGGGTGGAAATCTGTCACCATCTAGTAAAGTGTCCTGCTTTCCAGGGTGTTGAGTGGCTGGTGCAGTCTGTGGCAGAGTGCCTCATAGTTCTGAGACTGACTCTGACACTAATATGCAGGCTTAGGATGTTGCTGATTGAAAAGACTATATTGCCAGACCAACTTTGTTGTTGTTTTGTTTTTTCTTTAATGTGTTCTCTCGTCCAGCTTGGCTTCCCTCTGGTGTAACAGATACTGTTCAAGTGACTCATTCACTTTCCTCTGTGTTATTAATGAAATCCCCTTATTTGCAGATGAAGGAACTAAAAGGAGTTTTGTACAAACATTGTACATTGGGCATTTGCTTGTACCCTGCTTCTTCCCCTGATCTTTAGCTGGTGTGGAGCAGCCTGAATCTGTGGCTCTGTCACAAATTGCAGAGGACCCAAAGCCTCTATCTACTCTCTGTGGGGCTGCAAGATCTGACCTGCTTGTCTGGGACTTCTACTGCTGACTCATGTTTTTGAAACCAGGTTAGAATTGGGGGGAGCAGACTAATTTTGGAGAGCTTTGGGATTTTTGCTTTGCTGTTTCCTTTGTCTTAATTGAGTAACCTGTATGTATTGCTGTGCTTCTTCCCTCGTGGTTGAGTTCATCACCCTTCGACTTTCAGCAGGGGACAAAAGTGACAGGGAAATGCACTAAAAATTGGTGTCTGGTTACTCTAGCTGATTAGGGTTTTTGGAGTTGGCTGGTAGGATGGAGCATGCTGCAACTTGTGAACTTGAAACAAATGAGATCTGGAGGCTAATGGGAAACACACAGCAGCTTTTCTCTTTGGCTGAGCCTGGAACACATGACTGTAAGAAAGTTGAATCCCCCACACCAAGCTAGGAGGAGGTTTGAAATGGCCAACCTGGACTTTACTTAAAGCAGTCCATGAGCAGAACAGGTTCTGGTGCTCAGTATCAGAGGCCAAGGCACATGAGTCAGGAGCAGTATGTGGTGGGGAGGTTTTGCTGTTTGGAGCCTCAATATGTCCTTTTCAGTTCGTTTCTGGAGTCCTTTGTAACAGAACTCAGATTTTTCATTAAAATACAGGTTGAATCAGATCTTAAATTCGGGTTTGAGCTCACAAATTCCCTTACACACAGGCACACACTGGCTTGAACAGGCAGTGGTTAACAGTGCTACCAGAAGTTAAGCATATGCTGAAGATTTTTTTACTAAGTCAAGTCCTGGAGGTTTTTGCCTGCAGCATTGGGATATGCATTCTGGTGTAATGAGTAGAATTGCCTGGAAGGACTATTGCTGGTTATGTCACTGTGGCAGTGTTCAGCTGCTCTGACGCCTGAGGTCATACAATCAGCATAGTTTCATGTAGGCAAACATGTGGTCATATGTGTACTGTCCACTCACTTGCATTACCTGCAAGCAGGTGTGTGTATTTTATAGCGATGCAAATATTTGTAACTCCAGTGTGGTGCTTTGTTAGCAGTGGGTTACCCTCTTGCTAGGAGGATGTGAAGTAGCCACGTGTCTGAGAGTAGCAGGCCTGTAGAAGGAGGGAAGAAATGCAATGGAGTTATCCACAAAGCTGCTTTGGCAATCACTGTGATGATTAAAAATTGTGCTGTTGAATTTTGTTGGCTTACTAATTAATGCTTAATAAATGAAGTGGATGTTTTCCAGATCCAAGTTTAAGTAATTATTTAGACTAATGTTGATCACCCCTCACTATTCTGCTGGAATTTAACACATCAAGGCCTGTAGGTCAGTTTGGATAGAATGAGAGTGAACCTCCTATAGCATGTTTCTTAATGTTGTATTTTCTGTGGTAGGCAAATAGGTTGCTTATTTGTTGTGCATTCATAGTGGAGAAATCGCTGGCAGATGTAGATATTGAGGAAGATGTTCAGCATCAGATCAGCTTGCCCTTCAGCAGATTTGCTCTCATTTCATACTTCTACCTCATAAAATTTTTGCTGCAAAGCAGTCTACTGGAAATGTAAAATACTAGACGTTAGCATCTGAAACTTGTTTGCTACTGCTAAAGTTTTGATTTAGAAGGTGGCAGAGAAACTGGATACAATACACAAGCAATGTGTGAGCTGGCTACACAAGCTAAGGCCATTTTACTGCAGGAGTCTTATGATTTTGGTTTTTAAATAAGTAAATTTCCAAAATATTTAAATGATAGATTAGCAAAGGAAGAGAACCCCCAAAACCAAAGAGTAAAGCCTTCCTTTACACCTGACAATTTGTATCAAAAAATGTATAAAGCTTACCTCCAAAGTTTTCCATTTGAGGTTTTTTCCTCTTGATACAGAATACCTTTCAGTTGATTCTTTGTTTTTGTTTTTAAAATGGTTTTCAAGCTAAACCTCAAGATGTTTTCATTTGTTGATGAAGTAAGTCTGTAGATATGAAACTGAAATGTAAAAGCCCACATATATAAAGTTTTCACAGTTACAATAGTTTCATAGTGCAAAAGCAGTATGGGAAATTATCAGTGTTATTTCTGTGCCTGTCGTGGCTTTGCTCACAGTGTTAGGTAGAGGTGATACAACCTGATGGAGGTAGTTTTTAATTAAAACCCCTGGGGAGCATCAAATGAGATGCTGAATATGGTCATATGAAGGAATTACCTTATTATCCTAAAGATGTGAGAATCTAGCAGATGCTCTCAATTCGGTATTTGGGGGATTTCAGGGAGTCTTCTATACCATGTCCAGGTGTGCATGTCCCCTTTCCATCCCGCCCTGCGAGTCGGGGTGTGTTTGGCGGCGGTGGGGCCGGGGAGTGCTGCTCACAGGGAGCTCCTGCGGGGAGGGGGAGCGCGGAGCTGCCAGTGTGCCAAGGCGAGAGGTGGCTGTGCCTCTGCCGGAGAGCAGAGCCGCTGTTCCCCTCTCTGCCCTGCACTGGCACGGCGCAGCAGCTCGGGGGCTGCGCCCCGCGGTGCCCGCGGCCGGGGAGCGGCTCCCCTGCATCCCTGTCCGCAGGCTACGTTTCTGCGCTCTCCTCCCCGCCACCCCTCCCCTTCCCCGTTTACCTAGGCAGGTTAGCACACACACACGCACCCACCCATAGATTTATTTTTTTCGCTAAGTTTTGCAAGGCGCAGCAGCTGCCGGCGCTGGGAGTGCCACACGCCGTGGGGCACCCCGCGCTGTCCCCCTGTCCCGTTGCCCCGCGTCCCCCTGTCCCGTTGCCCCGTGTCCCGCGTCCCGTTGCCCCGCGCGCGTCCCGGTGTCCCGCGTCCCGTTGCCCCGTGCCCCGCGTGTGCCCCGAATGTGTCGCGCTGCCCCGCGTGTGCCCCGCGGCACCCCGGGCCCCGCGCCCCCGTGGCTCGCGTTCCCCCTGGGCGCGGGGGGACGCGGGGCCCACCTGCCTGATGTCAACATCCCGGCGGGCGAGGCCAGCAGGAATGTGCCGCTCCCCGCCCGGCGCAGGTAATTAATCCCCGCGACTGACAGGTGGCAACAGGCGGCCTTTGGCTGCGGCTCCCGGGGAAAAGCGCTCGGAGGAAGGATTTTAATAACTCATCAGCACCGTTCGTGAGCGCCTGGCGAGGCGGTGGGGATGGGGAGGGGGCAGAAGAGCCCCAGGGGAAAATGAAGTTTAAGTCTTTGCGAAGGCGAACGCCCTTGGGTGATTCACTGCCCTTCCTCAAGAGGGAAGAGAGTGTGACATGGTTTTTCCTTTGCGCCGGGGTGGAGAAATTTGGTAAATGCCTGCAAAGCATTGGTGGAGGTGCATCAGCATCCCCTCCTGATCCTGTGCTCCGGGGCATCGCACGATGGCTTCCCTTGCACATGGGGGATGCTCACAGGCATTCCTGTCTCCCTGGTGCCCGGGGCTGTGAGGCTGGGGGTTGTTGCCACACCTGGTGGATCTGTGTCACTGGACCTGTTGGCTGTGCCCATCCATGGTTTGAATGCCAGCTATGCCCACTAGCAACAAGCTGTCCACTTTTCTCTGGACTCTGGTGAGACAGAGGGCTTCAGACTGAAGCTTCAATGAGTCAGCTCACAAGCTGTGTGGTTAAGGTTATGACGAGCTGAAGGTTAAATCTGGAAGGAGGTGTCCGAGTGTGCAGCACTCCTGGTACAGCTCCTCTTCACTGAGTGCCCTCTGGGTACAAGTTGGTTCCTAAGAGTGTGTGTGTATGTGCACACGTGTGTTTGATGTGCCCCCACATGCTCCCAGCAGTTTTTTGTAAATGAAAAGTCAAATCATGGTCAAGCATAGCAAAAATGTTTAAAGTGGTTGTGTAAATTTCACTTTTTGTTCTTAGTTGGTAGCTTCCTTTCTTCCCACTGCCTTTTGTTCTCCTAAATAATTAAAACATGTTCAAATTATTTTCTATTTCTTTGTGCCTCTCCTTGTTTTCACCTGTGAATACTGTGGTGCAGGTAGCTATTCCATTCCCACTCTTCTCTTTTTTCCCCTTCTTAGGGAGTTAGTTTGGTGGGGAGAAAGCATAGCTGATTGACAGCTTTGAAAACATCAAGTAAAATGAATCTAGTTAACTGAGTTGAACTAAAACATGACGGCTTGAAAGAAGCTTGCAAAAGATTTGAAAGACCTGTTGATCTGAGCAGGAGAGGCTCAGGGAGCTGTAATGCCTTAAGCCAACCTCTGGGATCACCTTCAAGCTGACATCTGTCAGCATTTGTAGAGCTGACTGAACCCCACTCCTTTTAAAGATTTAGAAGCCATAATCCCTCTGCTGGATCAGATGGTAAAACAGATATTAGAGGTAGATTTCGAAAGTAGTGTTTGGGGGATTTCACTGCATCAGAGTTTTGCAGAGGAATTGAGTACTTGGTAAAAAGTCATTGTGGCTTTTATTGCATTGAGCACTTCCTTTCAGGAGACTACAGTCCCTTATAGCAAAAATACTCCATTTGAGATTCAAGAATGTTTTGTTTTTGCCTTTCAACCCTTTGTTGACACACCTTCAGTAGAAGGGGCTTACTAAGAAATCAGACAGGTGTTGCCTGATGGTAGCTGGCGTGTGTATTGTGATACTGAATTACCAGCCAGGGTGCCAAGAGTGGGTAATACAGTATGTCTGCACAGGCAGGTGGGGAGAGCAGAGCTAAAGGCACTGGAACGTTTGCACCTTTCATTTTAAAATGTATTATTAAGCAAAAAGCTAAATTCCTCACAGGCAGCAGTCGAACCCCAAAGAAAAGTCTGAGCCAAAGCTCTTTCCTCTCCCTCTTGAGTAGTTAACACATTTCCAGGCTCAGCTCTTTTGTTTTAAATGGCTTTCAGGTCTGTACTCTGGTGGAAGCGGTGTTGCACTCCTCAGGCTCCTCACAGCTTTGTTCCTACTGCTAGATAATGGTTGTTGTCATCTTGTTAACTGATAGACTTGTTTGTTTGGTCAAACTCATTTTTTTAAAATTGGTACTACTAATTAATTTAGTTTTCCTGCTCAATTGTGTTGATTAATAGTCATGCTTTGGATTTCTGGGAATTGCTCACAATCTCACCCCTCATACAGCAAGTGTCAGTTCACAGCAAAATGGTGAGCAGGGGACTGTCACCTCCTTCCTGCAGGGTGGGGTGGTGTGGGACCACTGAGGAGCAGCACCTGTGTCAAGAGAGTGATCCTCGCTTTCAGGCACTGAGTGCACAAACAGCTTCTGCCTCGGGTTTTCTTTCTGAAGTGCCTTTCTTTGAAATCTATATACAATATCCTGTCTTCCTCTGTGGATATAGCGATTATCACTGATCCAGGACGAAGTCACTATGACCTAGTTGTTGGCATCTATTTATGCCAGTAAATGGCTGTGCATCAGGTTACTCCTGGTTGCAGCAAAGTTGGCGGGGTGGGAAACTCAAGCCCGTCTCTGTCTGACAGCAGGTACCCCGTGGACAGATTTACACTGGTGTTAAATGACTGTCCCTTCAGCGATTACACGCTCACAGGCGACTGTGCCTGGGGTAGATGTGAAATCATGGCTCTGTGCCATGTCCCCAAGCCCTGTGCAGTGCCTGTGAGGCTTGAACTCCTCTTGCAGTCAGGTGACAAAAAGGCAGCTCAGCCCCCTGTTGCCTCTTTTGACTCTGCTGGGCACTGCCACTAAATCTTCCCACTAAATCCTGACTGTGCTCTGAGGCAGAGGTGGGCTCCTGGTTACCCTCCTTCCCTGACATGCCAAGTTCAAGTTGTTGGCTGGAACCTGCAGCTCTTGAGTCTGCCCTGTGTTTCTTTGTTGGATAGGCTTGTTCATCATAACCCATCAGCTCTTGGCTGTTTGTTTTCTGTGAATTTAGCAGTGTGAATTTAGGGTATAGGTGCAATGCCTTCCTTGCTGGTTGTAGTCAAAGGGGTCCAACAGTTGGGGTGCCAAAGGGTGGATGAAGAGTGGATCCCTTTCTCTGCTCACAGAGGGGCTGTGCTGTTTTATCACGAGCCTCAGTATTTGTGCTGGTTTTGGGTACATCTCAGTCTTTCTGAAAGCAGTGATTTTTGGTTTTCCCCTTTCTTGTAACCCCAGCTTTCTATCTTTGAAGATACTATATGTAAAATTACAGTCAGCACCAGGAGTCCTGATCAGTGACTGAGGGTGTGTATCTCTTTCCATTTGTTCAAGTCTCTGGATGCCTGCAGACACTGGACTCGTTGCCTCCTGGCATATGCCATGCCCTCTGTGCACCCCTGCTCTTCAGTATTTATACTTGCATCTCAGCCCATCACCTCTGGGTGCCCAATTCTTTATGCTTCAGTGATGTTAAGGCATCCAAGTGATTAGTTGGCTGTTTGAGATTTTTGAAGCTTTCTGTCCTTAAAACTTGCACAGTGCTGAGCAAACTGATGTGTTGAAGGAAACAGTGCTTTACAGGTTTTCTTCCTTTTTAAATATAAGTGATTCTTTTTCTGCCTCTTGAAATGGAAAGACAACATGGTGAGCTCACTCTTACCTTCAGTAAGGAATTGCTTTTTAATTAAAAAACAATAAGGAATTTCAGGTTTAAAAGACGTATGATACAAATCACCATCTAGATGTGTTTCGCAACTTTTCTTTTTTGTAATTGTTTGGCATGTTCCCCGTTTCCGCGGGCTGGGTAAATCCTTTGTGGGTTTAATCTCTAGCCTGCAGGCACATAAAATACATTGCACAATTTGGCCTTTGCATTTTAAAGAAATCTTTTTTTGTATCTTAAATAGCTGTAGCATCTTTTCTGCCACATGGCAGGATGGTGTTGAGTGAGGAGGGAAGGGACTGGCTTGGTTTATGTTTAATCCCTCTCTCCTACCCAGTATCTCTTGCAAGATTAGTTTTTCCTATGTTAGCAGTGTGTACACTCTGAAATGCAAATAATCCCTGACTATCACTAGCTAATCCTTTTCCTGCTGCATCATCTGCCACCCAGCCTTGCACGCGCTGGCTCTCCCCGTCCCAGTGGGGTCCATGGCCACAGGGTGCTCCTGACCAGTATGAACCTGTCACTGCTGTGTTTGAACAGCTGGGAACAGGGCTCTATTGGCCCAGGGCTCCTAGAGACCTTTTCCTGTGAGGAAACAACCACCTTGGGGCTTTCACTTTTCTTTGTCTGCAAGAACTGAGGGCACGGAGATGGGGAAATGCCAGCAATTCCTGTGGCTTAGGTTGTTACAGGGAGAGCTCAGCACTCGTAAATGTCTGAATAGCAGGAGAAAACTGAATGGCTCTGGAGCAGAGTTCTGAAAAACCTGCTGTGTTTTGGAACAGCCTTATACAGGAGGGGAGACTGGAGAGTCTCCTTCATGGGAGATATCCAGGAAAATGGGTTTAGGTTGTACAGTACTGAACCACTTGGGACTTTCTTTGCCATCCTCCCTGCTAAGCAGATGCATTTATTTTGATGAGGGATTTTGAAAAGAAACCACCTACTTCAGCCTTGATGTTTTGCTGAGTTAAGGTTTCCAGATGTGAACTCACTCCATGAAAATGCTGCATTAGTTTACTGTTGTACTGGGGAACATCTTAAGAGAAATCTAATATTCTCCAAATTAGCACAGTGAATAAGAGCACCTTGTTGTGTTCCAAATACTCATTGCATGGTCACAGCCTCCCTTTTGGAGCCAGCTGCTAGGTTTTGCTCTAGGTTATGGTCACTGTGGGTTGGTCTTTGGGCTGTTCAACTCTTCTGACCTTTGAAAAATAAAATACTGGACTTTATTTACCTAATTTCTGGATGTAATGATTTTAGTTCGGAAGTGAGGGGATTACTACAAAGATGTTCAGTAGATGTGGGAGATGATTTTAAAAAATGACTGAAATGTCAAATTTGGTATAACTCTCAGATTGATCAGGGTCTTGGTTTCAAGTACTGTTCAGTTCCAAGGGTGATGCTTTTATTTAATCCCTCTGCAAGAGTAGGAGGGCTTCTTAGAAAACAGGATGAAACACTTTTATGTCTGTGGTTTTGAGTGCTTCCAGGATTACAGGATGCTGTGAAAAGAATAGCATCTGTTTTGTTAGGTGGGTGTTGGGTGTCCTTTGCAAGAGGGAGTGTGTGCCCAAGAGAAATGAAGGCTTTATTTGTTCAAGTAAATGAAGTGCTCTTTATCTGAATATTTTTGCCTTTGGGGAAGCTAGGATGTAGATTTATGCTCTGCTATTTTACAGCAGGTAAAGGTCTAGGGGTTTTGTCACCATTCTGGAAGCACGGTTGTTGTACAAATGCAGTGGCTGTGCAGTGGCTGGTGCTTTCAGTTACATGTACAAAGCCATCTCCATGTTCCTGGTGTGCCTTTATCCCCAGCTGAACTTCTGCCTCTCCTTTGTTCTGTTCCCCATTCAGTATTCCACTGAACTGAAAAAGCTGTACTGCCAGATCGCCAAGACGTGTCCCATCCAGATCAAAGTGATGACCCCACCGCCTCAGGGAGCTGTCATCAGGGCTATGCCAGTCTACAAGAAAGCTGAACACGTCACTGAAGTGGTCAAACGCTGCCCAAACCACGAGCTGAGCCGCGAGTTCAACGAGGGTAAGGAGGGCAGTGCTGTGCTGGCAGTCCCTCTCCAGAGCTGCTTGGCTGATGAGCGGCCACTGAGGGATGTGACAGCAGCTTCAGAGCAAACCTTCTGGAAACAGACCTCCCTGTGACACCTTGTGCAGCCTTTTATTTCCTGTGCTTGGCAGGAAGGATCATGCAATCAATGCTTTAGCTGTCCCTGTGCCTGCTCGTCCTTGGGAGGAAAGCACTGAAATAAACCTCGTGCCTGCCCCGGTCGGATAGATGTCTGTCCCCGTGGCAGGCACTGCCCCTCTGGCAGCCCTTCTCTGCTCTGCTTTTGCTCCTGCAATGAGAAGCAGCTGTTCTTGTGCTCAGGAATGAGCTTCCATGTGGCTGGGACAGGGATCTAGTAACAGGATGCAATATCATCTCCAGTCCTTAATCCACGCCTCAAAGACGGAGGGGCTGTTTATCTCTGGCAGGGTAATGCTAAGTGCCAGCATCAACTGTAGGCAACGTTCTTCTGCATGTAACACTCCCAGTTCAGTATACATGTTTTAATCTTTTACTTGCTTCTCCTCATGTTAGTGAAGTAGCAGCTGTTTTTAAAATGTCCTTTGGTTTTCTGCAAGCTCACAGGCTGGGTTCCATTTTGTCTTGGTCATTTAAGTTCACTTAAGTTCAGATGAGCATCTGTTTTATTCTACATACATTATTTATCTCCTACTGTAAAAAAACCCTGGGTTGGTGTCAGTTAGCAGGATGTCTTAGGAGTCTGGATCCCATTGCAGGTTACAGTGCAGCCAGCTAGACAAGCCCCAGAAATAAGCAAGGCCTTGGGAGAGTAAAATCAGAGTGGAGTGAGACAATTCTTCAAATCAGTTTTTATATTAAAAAGTGCTTTTCTGACAGGACTGGATTTATTGAGGTTTGACGCTATTCAATAATGGGGTTTTAAGAAAGGAAAAAAATCTATAAATTCTTATTCTGAAATAATTATTTCTGTAGAAATAGACTGTATTATGAGTAGGAAATGAACAGTTAATACACAAAACAAATTCTTGAGATGAACCCATAGCAGGCTTCTCTCCTCACAATTTAGTTGAATGTTGTAGAAACACTAAAGAAAATTTATAGGAAGGAAGCTTTTAATTATTGGAAAGTGGCCTAGGAACCAAGAAGATCAAGTTCCCTTCTGCTGTAAGCAAGCATGATTTTTCAAGCTGACCATTAATTAAATGCATATTTCTTTTGCTTCTTGATTCTTTTTTTTAAGGATCAAGACTGATGGAAGGGAGTAGAAGAGAGCTAGCTAGCTAGATGGGAAAAAGAGTAGGAATTGAGACTTGAAGGAATTTGCTTTGTATATACATTAGAGGGAGGAAAATAAAGGCTTTCAGCTGGTGTGAAAATCCAGCAGGAGTTATCTGCTGGAAGAACTGCTGTGAGCTGCCATTCAGTTCACATTTTGGCTCACTTCTGGGATCTTGGGAAGCCCATGTTCAAGTTTAGCCACAGGTGTTCAGAGTGAGCTTGGGAAAGCCTGTGTTGCCTTTGGTGTCTGGCAGCAGGGATCTTGGGAAGGGATGCTTCAAGGGCTGAGAGGCACCTGTGTGCTCTGATGGACCTCTGGGTCCACATGCATCTCCCTGATGACAGATTTTGCCACTCAGTGCATGACCTTACTGAGCAGTGTCTTGTTTTTTTCCTCTTTGCCTTTGCAGGGCAGATTGCACCTCCCAGCCACCTGATCAGAGTGGAAGGGAACAGCCATGCCCAGTATGTAGAAGACCCCATCACCGGGAGGCAGAGCGTGCTGGTCCCCTACGAGCCACCCCAGGTGTGTTGTGAGCTTGAGCTGGTGGCACCCTGGCATGGAAGGGTTGGGGGTTGTAACCCTGGTCAAAGGAGTTGTGTTCTTGGGCTTTCCCTATCCTCACCACAATGAATCTTCCTTTCTGTCAGAAATGAGCTGTGAAACACCCTCCTTATCCCTTTTAAGGAAGCTCTCTACTGGGGGCCTATTTCATGCTGGTCCACTTACAGCCCAGCTTGGGGAATGAAAGAGGAGGGCTTGGAAAAAGCAGAGCTTTCCATCCACCATCTCTTCTTCTCCACCTTTGTCTCACCAGGTTGGTACTGAGTTCACCACAGTCTTGTACAACTTCATGTGCAACAGCAGCTGCGTTGGAGGGATGAACCGCCGCCCGATCCTTATCATTGTGACCCTGGAAACCAGAGAGTAAGTTGTGCATCATGAGTGTAACCCTTCTTGCCCCTCTTCCACTTAGGACAGCATTCCATCTCCTTAGGAACAACTTAATTCAAGGGGCTGCAGGATATTTCTTAGATCTTTGCAGCTGGGACTTGCCCAGCACCTGGGAAATCCGGGCTGGGCAATGGAAGGTGCGGAGTGTGGTGTGAAGTTGAGAGCTGCTGGCCTGTGTCCGAGATGCCAGCTGATGTTTCTCCTCACCTGTCTTCCCAGTGGGCAAGTCTTGGGCCGCCGATGTTTCGAAGCCCGCATTTGTGCTTGCCCAGGCAGGGACCGCAAGGCAGACGAGGACAGCATCCGCAAGCAGCAAGTGTCCGACAGCACAAAGAATGGTGATGGTACGAAGCGCCGTAAGTAGCTGCAGAGCTGGGCAGATGGGGCTGTCTCTGGGTGCTTGTGCCACCGGGACAGAGTGGTGCTGTGCATGGGCTTGCAGGCAGGAGGGCATCAGGCATCTGTTCTCCCAGGGTGAATCAGCCTAGAAATTGAGCTGGTGTTCACAAAGCTGTGTTTGACAGTCTGGGTGTGTGGGCTCCCTTGCAGCATTGCTGGTGTTAGATTAGCCCTGCCAGTGGTGAGTGGAGGGGGTGTTTATTTGCCACCTTCCAATTGTATGTCTGGAACTCTAACCTTTTGGACCTTTACTGCTTGTTTGGGGTCATGCTGTTATTCTTTGCTTCATCTAGCCAGTGTTCTGTGCTGTGGCAGGTGTCTTCCAGCCACAGGGATCTAGACTGAGGCTGCACACAAACCCTGCTGTGCATTGCAGATGCCCTGGCAAGCAGCCTCTCTGCGCTCTGAAGAGAGCCAAGTCCTCACTGGACATGCAGATGTGGAAATCCACCTTCGGTTTCCCCTGTACTCAGTGAAGGCAGCAGGCACAGATTATGACAGGAGGCAGACAGGAGTGGAGCTTTGTTTTCTCAGTGAGTTCTGCTCCCTGCCAGTGGTCTCACCTTTGTGGATCACTGATTCACCAACAGCTTGTGAGCCTTGTAATACCAAAACTTTCTGTAACTTTCCTGTAAAGAGCCAGTGCTTGTTTGAAGTGTGGCTTGCCAGGGGTTTTGTCATATATCCAGCACTCCTTGGCTGATGTGTTTCCCCAAGTGACATGGCCTGCCAGCATCTGCCTTAAGGAGCCAGGAGCTCTAAGGGCAGTTCTGGAGTGGCTCAGGCAGAGATCCCTTCAGAGCACTACAGATCTGAGCTGGTCATGCACTTCATGTCTCTTTTGTATCTCTTTTTGCCTTTTTCTTCTTTGTATGCTTCTCCCCTCCCTCTCCCCCCCTTTCTTTTTTTTTAATGGGATGCCTTTGGGGTTTCTCTTCCAGCTTTTCGACAAGGAACTCATGGCATACAGATGACATCTATCAAAAAAAGACGCTCCCCAGATGATGAACTCTTGTACTTGCCAGTGAGTTCTCTCTCTTTTTATTTAGCCTATGTTTAGTATCTTAAATGGTGACTTGAGGCTCACCTAGACTTCAGAAATAACTGAGGATGGTGTTGGGGTGTGAAAGAATAATTTTTATTTTCTTTAATTCCATTAGCTACTAATTTTAAATACATATTCCAAATAAAAAATATTGAAAATCCCACTGGGTGCTAAGAATGGCTTGTGCAAGGCATATGAGAATATCTCAAGGGATCTCTCTGTCCTGGTGGAAACGTTATCTTCAAGATCTAACTAGGTTTCCTCCTCTGTCATTTCTGGGTCTGTGGCACATGACCTTTCTCTAGAAAACTGGGTGTTGTCTTACTGATAGGTGGATGCTTCTGTGGCTTTTATGTATATTGCAATTGTAATGCAGTGACAGAAGTGAAATATGCTGTATTAAGTGCAGACTCAGAAGGGGCAAGACTTGTCTCTAATTGGCCATTTAGCAAGTCATGGTGTGCTTGGAGAAGGGAGAGCCAAACCCAGCTCCCAGATTTATGTGCTGTCTTTTCTGAGGGCATGTAAGATTCAGCACCAGATCTGCTTACATCTGAGGCAAGTAAAGACCTTTTCTGTCTAAATAGGTTGGATCAGAATGCTGCTTTTGGCTGGCATAGATCCACGCTGAGCCATATGACAACCCCAAGATGTTCATCAGCCTGCAGTGTGAGATTATCACTCTTCAGCATTATTTGCTGCACCTCTAGAACAGAGCTAGCATTTTTCTTGTGTGAGCATACTGTATAAACAGACTATTTGCATCCTGCTCTGGTTGTTTACTTGACATTTTCAAAGACTTTCTAAGGTGACTATCAATAAGGTCTATAAATGCAGTCCTTTAAAGCTTTTCTTTTCCCCAACCCCCTGTCCTTTTCCTGTGACCCAGGTGAGGGGACGGGAGACGTACGAAATGCTACTGAAGATCAAAGAGTCCCTGGAGCTGATGCAGTTCCTTCCCCAGCACACGATTGAGACCTACCGGCAGCAGCAGCAGCAGCAGCACCAGCACTTGCTCCAGAAGCAGTGAGTACCGGTGTGCTTGCAGCGTCAGTGCAGCGGGGAGAGAGGAGAGAGACACAGAAGGCTTCTGCACGGGTGTTCACAGGGACACGGTGCTCAGCTGAGGGCTGAGCAATTGGACAAAGCAGTTCTGCTTCCCCCAGTGCACGTCCTGACTGCTGGCAAGGTCCCTCTCTAGTCTTTCATCCCACATATTTCATCTTTTGGCCTCGGTGGGTGAATGAGGATGGGCTCAGTGCCTCATTTGGCTTCCAGCCAGATCCCAAGGCAGAGCCATTGACAGCCTGTGGTCAAAAACCTGCTGCATGTGCCCATCCCAGCTGGGGGATTGGTGCGCTCCTGTCCCATCGCTCCATGGGAATGGCAGCAAACATGAGCCATCTCCAGTGCCTTCTCCAGAGTATCCATCTGACCGCCTTGCTAAGAGTGTCTAGAGCTGGGACTGTGAGCACAAGCTCAGCTGAGACCTTGCACCCACTGCAGTGCACTGGAGGGCTGGTGTTCCAGTGGTACAACAACACTTCAGGTTGTTCAGCTGTAAAACAGGCAGCTGAAAGTCAAGAGCAAAGCTGAAAAACAAAAAATTTCCTTTACAGCTAGTGGGCACTTCAGAAAAAGATTCTATACACTCTTCTGAAGTATTGTCAAAAATTGCAGTTTGCCAGATGACTGTTCACATTGCTCATGAGAAATTTTCCATCCTTTCTGAACTCAGCTGGCAGGGGTTGCTCTGTGAGCTGTAAGTGTGAGGAGGATGGGGAAAAGAAAGGCCAAATAGGTGCCTGGGTTCCCAAAGCATTGCAGTCAGAGGCTTGGGCAGAGAATGACTTCCCAGACAGGCAGTAAGCAGGGTCATTCATGGGCATTGCTTCACCTGCTGTCTCGGGTGACAGAAAATGGCCCCTGGGCTGTAGGTGGCTGCCAGGGCAGTGCTCGGATCTCGCATGTCCGGAGGCTGTGGGTATAACTCATTCCTCTGCAGAGGTGAGCGTGGGGCCAAGGCACCACGTAAGTTCCACTTGAGCCTGTAGGGATTTATTTCAGTGCCTTGGCCTTGTCTCAGGACTTCTGCAATCCCACAGCTTTCTGCCAGATCTCTGCATGTGTTCGCATTTCGACCTGTGTGTTTTTAGTGTCAGCTGGAGTCTTGTGGAGGTGTGAGAAAAGCCTTCTGCCAAAATGTCTGGAGCATCCAGGGGCTCTGGACTCTTTTCTTGGGGCACTTAAAAATCTCATTATTGTTATTTACTTTTATCAGTCATCTGCACTGTTTGTATATACTATAGCCTGTATTTACTAGCTGCTAGGCATTGTGGCATTTGTGTGCTCTACTGCTTGTCTTCAAAGCTTCACCTGAACCACAGCCATTTCAGCTGAGAAATGGTTTTGTAAGCAGGAATGGACAGCAGCAGATGACAGCTTTCCTTTGCTGACAGTTGGCTTTGCCATAAACTTTTTTCATTCTTTCTATATCAGTAGAATAGGTTCCTGGCAAAAGAGGTTGTTATTTGTGTTACCTTTAAGACCAGCATGTAGAAGTTCAGCCATTTAATTTAATGAAAATTCTTTTGGCGTGTCTTCTGGCACTTGTCCAGTTATTTACTCATTTTTCTCAGTTGCTGAGTGTGCTCATGCAGGGGAGAAAGATTAAGAGCTTTAAAGGGTGCCAGGAGCATGGAGAAAAATAACTTTTAGTATTTGTCCAGAGCTGCTGCAGTTGTCTCTGTCCACAGCCTGCCATCAGGCAGGGTCCTCTGTGCTGAAATGCATATTCAGGCAACAGTTTCTTAGGTACACTTTGGGGTTTGGTGCTTTTTCCTCAATAGTCCATGGTATGACTTAATATCTGAAGGAATGTGTTCAGGGCAAAGGGATGTTGAAAGTTGCCTTTGGTTCTTCCTTCTCAAAATGGAGCAGCATCCAGAGTCACACCTTGGTGGAGGAACTACTGGATTTTTCAGTTTATTTTTTGGGACAGTGGGTAGCATGGAGAAGCTATCGAGGTGTGTGGAAAGAGTTTTTCCTGTCACTCCAACAACATGGAAAGCTTCATCTTTTTTGAAGAGCAGGAAAAGTAAGGTTGAGATGATCATGGTGAAAGGTAGTTTTAAAAATACAAAACTGTCGTTTTGGAAAACAACTGTATAATGGCTCTCGTGCACATACAGACCAGCATTGCATTTGACAGGCCAGCAGATGCAGCTGTCTGACTGTTCTGGAATAGGAAGGACAAATCTGGTGACAATCAGCATTCTTGTGTCCCACTAGATGACCAAAATACTGCAATGCTCCACATTGTGCCAGGCCACAATATTTCTCTGTCTCATCTCCTCTCTCTGCTTGCTCTTTGTGCATGGTTTTCTCCTATTTACTGTTATTCCAAATACCTTCATGATCATAGGTGGGAAGTTGTTGGTTTTTTTTTTCTTTCCGTTTCTGTTCTTCCTTTTTCACTGTCAAATCCTGGGGCCCTTACTTGAACTGCAGCACACACATTTATTTAGAAGAGTTCATAGTCTGCTACCGTTTGTGTAAAACAGATTTGCCAGATGATTACTGCTGCAAGAGATATCAGGGGTGGCTTATGCTTTGAGGAGGGAATGTTTCCTCATTACCCTGCTGTGAAATGTTTGCCATCAATATTACCACGGAGCTACCTGCATAGTCTTTAAGGGTTTCACTAGAAAACACTTTTTCATGCAGCAGGTTTCACTCTGCTGAGCACTGTTTTCAAAACTGTCTGTATTTCAGTTCCCTGCAGCAGAGAATCACAGAATATTTCAAGGTGGAAGAGACCCATAAAGTTCATAACGCCCAGCCCAACTCCTGTGATTGAAGGGTTTTCACAAAGCCTTCCAATGGCTAGCAAAAAGGGGGCTCTTACATCCAAGTAGGATCTTGTACCCCAGCAAACATTTCTTTCCTATCAGCAGGGCTGCAGCTACGAGCCCACTGGCTGCCTTTCAGTCTGGTGAGCAGCACAACTCACTATCCAAATGAGGAGGAATTAACCTCATTAGTGAGTTGTGACAGAACTGAGCTATCCAATGCCTGGAGTGCTCCAGCTGAGCTGCAGGGATCCCAGTGCTTGCTGTTGTGGGAAGGGGGCTGCTGGGGAAGGCATTCTTTGTACCTTCACCTCATTAATCTCGCTTTTGGTGTGAAAGCTAACAGTGGATTTTTGCATGATTTGGTTTGGTTTTGTAGTGCTGTGCTTGCATGTGAACTCCAGGCACCTGGATAGCGTTCTCACTACAGAATGGCCAAGATGAAAGGAACCAGGTGGAAGTGCTTTATGGATTCTGAGGATACAGTGCCCTCTGCTTCAGCTGGTGGCCCCAGGGACCCCTCAGCTTTTCAAAGGAGAGTAGTTGAGCTGTAATCAGTATGGCCAATAGGCACTGTTTGCCTTCTCTAGCACCAGATTCTGGGTTTGAAGTGATTGTAGTTAGAAATGGACTCAATGGAAGCTGCTACTCCTTTTCCTCTTTGTTGAGTGCTTTCATCTCTCCTAGATTTGTCACTGGAAACATTATCAGGGCCTTATTTGTACCCATGAGACTAGGACAGCATCAGGTTTCTCTATCAACTGGTTGTTTTCCCTTCCTTGCCAAGCACTCGCTTGTGCCTGGGGCTTTCCAGCTTCCTAAATCTCCCTGTTACATACCCTCACTGTAGGTGCTAAGACATCTGCTTTTTCCCTCTTTGAAAGCCCATGCTGTGATCATGAAGGTGGAAAGTAACTGTTTCTCTCTTGGTGGCTGGCAAAGGGTTCTGTACATTCATCTTTTTCTTTTCTCTGGTTTCCTTCTTTACAGTCTCCTTTCGGCCTGCTTCAGGAGTGAACTCACGGACTCAAGGAGAGACCCTCCCAAACAGATCGATGCCATCCTAAAACATTCCAGCCCCCCAAACCCATCAGTATATCCATAAACCGAGTTGGCAGGGTCACTTTGCCCAGCTGGCAGGACTAGGAACAGTGGGGCAAATACACAGCCTGATAGTGGCAGAGTGAATAGTGAGAGTACACTTCTGAAGGGACTCAAACTTTGCAAAAACAACAGACACTTGTACAGACCTCTTAGCTGTAACCCATAGCATTGCGAGGTCGGGAACCACGATGTTGTCTGTCTTGGTGTAACATTTTCCCCTTGGTGTAACATTTTTGTAATGTGTTAATACTCTTCCTTCTTACTTCTGTATTTGTGAAACTCTGTGGGGTTTCTCTGAGCAGGTCTCAATTTTAAAATGCCTCTTGTCTTGTTTAAGTTAAAAAAATGTGTCAATGGACTGGGGGGATGGAAGCAGAGGATACGTGTTTAAATGGTCTGTGATAGTCAATTTGGCCTGTTTCAGTGCTGGCCATGCACTAGTATAAGTAGCTGATGTATTTTGTACTGCTGGACAGGGAGAGGTAATAATTATATGAACTGGCACTGCTAAGAAATCAATATTTTTTTTCTGCAGAAAAGCCCTCAACTTTGGCATCATGAGTTGTTTCCACTTATTTTCAACCCTAAGGGGTCTTGATGTGAAGTACATCAGAATTGTAAGGAAGGCTGTGTGATTTTGACTTTGCACCAGCTTTGCTGACTTTGATCCAGCTTTATTGAACTTAGGGAGTTCCTCCTGACTCTGTGGGCTTGACCCAAGTGGTGAGCTGAATTGTACAAGCTGAATGTGTGGTAGAGTTGTAATGATACCCCTGTGTGCCCAATGTCCCTGTCCCTTTGCAGCCCTGGGTGTAAAGGGTAGAGTGTCCAAAACTCCCTAGTGCCCTAGCTGTGAAAAGGGGTTGGAGCTAGCCCCTCTCCTTACAGATATTCAGAAGTTTAGATGTTGCCTTAACATTTTCATCAGCCCTCCTATCTTTTTCCCCATCTCTCCAAGCCTCAGAGTTCAAAGGAAAGCAGTGTCATCACATGTTGCAGTTGACTCAGCCAAATGGCCTCAGGCCATGTCCACCTTGCCCATTAATCCTGCAACCAGAGGGTCTTGCTAATTGTGTCTGAAGTGCTTCTGGGTTTAGCAAGTCCTGCACAGAAGACTTTTTCTCAGCAAGGACTTGTAAATTCTCACACTGCTTTTATCAAACTCGGTCTCTGAAAGCCGTTCATATTGGACTTGGCTAGGAGGGGTTTGTGCCAAGCCCAGACTGTCACAAAAGAGGAACAATCAACAGGCCGATGACATGCCATGGAGTTAAGCTGGCTATGTTGAGCATGGCACTGGATGGGGATACTTCCAGTGAGGGAGAAGGGATTTGAGGGTGGGCATTTTGCCCACTGAGAGGTGCTCAAACATCTTCACATGAAGAGCAGCCCCTGATGCTGGGAGAGAAGGGCTCTTCAACCCACACTCTCAGGCATTGCTTCTGAGGAACCCTGCAATGTTCACAGCAGTAAGACATAGAAATGTGAGGAAGTTACTGAAGGTACACAGGAACAGTGGCTGGAGAGCAGAGCTTGGTTGCAAATGCCAGTGATCTGCAGCTCCTGAGCAGCTCAGGAGGCTGTATAAATCCTGCTGGGGACCTGTGTTCCCTGCAGTGCAGTCTGCTGGATTTATCTGGGGCAGACACAGCTCTGACAAACGTGAGATTAGGCAGCATGAAGAGAAGGTGCCTCCCAAACACAGAGCAGGCTGCCTGGCCACCCACCAAGGAGAAAAAGCCTGATGCAGTTGGAGAAGACCCTTATCTCTGACCATCACATCATCTGCTTCTAGGCAGCAGAGCAGGGATCTGAGCAGGTGATGACTCGTACTTGACATCTCCTTTAGGAGCCATATCCCATCTCTGGCTATCTCCCATGTCTTAGCAAGACTTGCTCTACCATAGCAGTGTGAAAGAGGGCTGATGGAAAAGAGCCCCCAAAAGCCCGCTGGAGTTCAGAATATCAATAACTTAGCTAATTAAGCACTAGCAGTGCCTACTTCATACAGTTGCAGCTTTACCGTTGTTCCTTGTGTAAAGCTAATCAAAATCAAGTGCCTTGTTACCCTGCCTGGAAATTCCAGGAAGTTCTTTGAGATCACAAAGCAGGTCACTATTGTTCTGTGCCTTTTTATGTGGGAGAAGAAAGGCAATGTGATTCCTTTGCCTGTGAGTGGTGGGAACCTGAACTGTAAATGCAGCCCAGATGTAGGATTATGTTTGGCACTGTTTTCTGCTCTTCCAGTGAAGGTTTATTCCTCGATTTTTGCATTTTCTGCTTCTGGATGGCAATATGGAAGTACTGTGACAGGGAAATACTGATCTGTATTTAGAGCACTGCTCCTGGACCTGTTCACCAGCAGGAAGTTTGAGGAGGCATCCACAGCTTGCACTGGAAGATTCCAGTTCATCATTTGGTGTGGCCTCTAGGAAATGCCTTGTACTGTAATGGGCAATATAACATCTCAGACTTCCACTGAACAGGAATGTAAATTGTTTGTATCCTATTGTTTTCTGGAAAGACTTTCTGATTTGTCTCACTTGGCTGTAAGAGCATGATGATTGTGATGCTGATCTTAGTGGTGACTTGATTTGCTTTCCAACTACCAGGTGGTTATATTAGAAGGTGCTATTCTTTTTTTTCTTTTATCAACTACCTGGAGCTGAAAGCAATTTGAGTTGTTCTGTAGTCTGTCCTCTGCAGATAAAATGAAAACTTTACCCCAGCTGTCTTTTCAGTGCTTCTTTGCCATCTCTGTGTCTTCAGGAAAATAAGCCTTTTCCTTTCAAGGAATAACCAAGTGGACTAATTGGGCCTTATCAGGTACTCAGGTTATATCAGTCTGTGTCAACTACTTGATATATATCCACTCCCTGTATTACAGCTTCATTCCCTGGAGAGCAGATTGCATCCATGGCCTGCCTTGAGAAATTCCCATACCTGAAATCTAAGGGGAGTCATTATTGCCACCCCTGGCCCTGTGCTGTAGTTCCTGTCTGCCCAGTAACTGCTGGAGCTCCTCCTTTCCATGCTCCCAGGGAGGTACCAAGCCTTCAAACCACTGGAGTGATTGAAAAGATGCACTGTTACTTGCTTTAGAATAGAAGCAGTTTGGGATGTGGGGAGTAAGGGCATTTCTCTGCTTTTCAGTGTCCTGCTGCTTCATGGGCCTTCAAATCAGATTAATGACACTGAGCAGCCTCTGTGTCACTTGTGTGCCCTTATTAGACTACATCAGTGACACCCCAGTGTTACACAGCCCTGTGGGAAACCTTGCTTTAAAAACTACTGTCCATGAGCACTCTGGCCTTGTGTCAACCAGGGATATGATCCTTGGTGTGGCTGCTGGAAGGGAGGGCAGACACAGAACTGGACAGCTCTGATTCTTCTTGTGTGTCTCTGCACTGACTGCCTCTGGGTCTGCAGGGACAGCAAACTGCAGGCACAGGGGCTTGGGTGAAATCTTAAACTCTGAGCCTGATCTGCCCAATTGCATTTAATGAACCTTTGATGTAATTTAGGGCTGCTTACATGGCTGTGTGCTCCTCTAGCCAACAAGGACTCTGATCTGCTCAGTCAGGTAGTTGGTCTGTCCCAGCAGTTTGCTGCCTCTGGTGAAGGGCAGCTGTCCAGTGAGCTGGGAAAATGTAGAGTTATACGAGACTGTGAACTGAACTTTGTTCATGTATGGGACAAGAAAGTTCCCTCCTGACCTCTTGTGATGATCAGTATATGCCTTGAAGCATGAGAGACTGATTGCCCTCATAAGAGCTTGCATAACTACAAATGTTATTTGCTAAATAATTACATAGCCTCTTGAAGAGGAAAAACTCAGTTGCAGAAGGTGACTCAGTGCCTTTTGTATCAGACTGTTCCAAGAAGTATAATAGTCTCTTAATTGAAGTCCTTATACCTTGATATTAAAAGGCATTTCATTGGCATTGATATCAAAGAAATGTTAATGCTCTGACTTCTAATCTTTCTTGAGACCTAGTAAGTGAAATTTTAATGAAAATCACTGTGCATGACATTCTTATATCTGTTTTTAAAAATCGAGGAGAAAAAGCAATATATTTTAAATGGGTCCTCAAACACCATGTAGTCCTTGTGCTTAATCCAAAAGCATTTTCTTGTGTTTCTAAGGCTCTTGCTATATTGATGTGTGACATTAATTTTCAATAAAATTTTGCATCTTGGTTTATCTTGAGACTTCTCTTTGGCTAGATGGCCTTTTAAACATGTGCTCTTGTGATGGAATAGCTTAGTTGAAACTAGTGTGGGTACAAAAAAAAATGCTTTTGTTTTCTGTTTTACTCCCTTGAACTTGATGATGTTAATCTTGCCTCTTGTGAGTATGAATGAGATAAGCGTGGAGTCCCTAAGCTATGTGTTAAAGTATGCCTTTATTTTATAAAGTGTTTGTTCTAAAGTCTTGGGCTGGGTTGTCTTTGATTGCTTTTTGTTTTTCTTTTAGCCCCAAGTATTTGTAGTCTCCTAATTAGCTTTGCTGAGGTCACTGTTGGTGGTGGAGAGGGCAAAGATAGGCCCACTGCTGACCTCAAGCAATGCAACTCAGTGTCCTTTGGGAAGCCTTTGTTGATTTGATTTGGAATTTTGCTGTGTTCATTGACCTCCTCACTTGCAGATCATGCAGATTTTGCTGTAAGAGACTCTTCAGGTGTGTGTTAATTTCAGCTGAAGCTCAAGTGCCTGAACACATGAAGTAGAAATACTCATTGGTCCTAAATCCAAAAGCCTTTTGGGCTAAGGGCACTGTGAACTTGATTTGAATTTCATGGCTGCCCTCAACTTTCATAACTGGGGAATTGAAACATCAGATCTGAATCTTCCCCTTCACTCTGAAAAGTCAGGTCTGAACTTCATGGCTCGGTTTCACTTCCCCTTGGGAGCTGCTGCCATTGTTAATATTAATTTGTGAAGCTTCTTGTGCTTTCCACTTCCTTGAGTCTGTGAAGTTTGCTGGATCTTGTCCTGCATCTTCACTGCCAAAGGACAGTTCACACCCTTCTGTACCTCCTGTAATTGTGTAATTAGGTAACATTTCTTCAGGGCCTTAGATACTCTAGCCTGTTAGCATAGATGTTTTCTCCACCCAACACTGCAAGTCTTGAAAGTGCAGGAAGCTGGAGACAATGTAATTGTATGGAACTTGACCTTGAATGCTGAAGGTTTTAATAAATTGTCTAGGAATAAGCCTTTTCTTTCCTTTTACACTTTGCTTATTTGGAGTAATAATTATTTTATTTGCATAGAAGAAAAGCCAGTTCCCAGGAATTGGTGTAACCAGTTATATACCCAGATGGGAACAAGCTTCCCAGTGGGAAATGAGATGGGAATGTGCCCCTGGACACTCAGCGTGGGGTCAGTGTGATAGGCATGCCAGGCTCTGTGGTGAGCTGGGTGACCTCTGCCCTGCAGGGTGACCACAGCTTGAAGGCACTTGTGCCTGGGAAGCAGCACATTTCCCAAACCTTTGCCCAGTCCTCCAAATGCCCCTGGTGCCAGAGAGAGAAAAACCTGCTCCCTTGCGGCATGGCAGTGCTATGCCAATTGTGCTGTTGGACCAGCTTTAATTATAATTTTCTGCATGTCTCACATAGGACCCCACTCCAGATAGGATGCCAAAGCCATAACTCGATCTGGGAGCTGGGCTGCCATTCAGAAGATCCCAGTCTTGGCAGTCTGGATCACTTACATGGCAGGATTGCGGCTGGGACCCTCGGGGCTGGGCAGCAGGGAGCTCTGGCCAGCCTCTCTGGCCCACTCCATGAGAATGCTGAGTGGAGTTTGGGGCTGGATGGACTTGAGGGAGGCTAGTGCTGTTGTCAGGTGGTAGTGGGAACTCAGTCCTCTTTGCAAGCAGCCTGCAGGGTTTGGATACCAGGTTTGCATTAACACCAGCAAAAGCTGCTTGTTGGCATCCCAGGCAGCTCTGACCATCTCAATTGTGGTCCCTAAAGTGCATAGAATCTGTCTTGAGCAAGGAGCCTCTGGCTGTTATAACTACGAATTTTGGAAAAAAACAAGGTGATAAGCCTGACCCAATCTGAAAACTGTTTTTGCAGTCAGGTTTCAGGGGCATTTAGGATGGTTTGAGATGGTTTCCTCAGTTCTTGTTCCTATGAAAAAGTCTTTCACCACAAGGAGAGTTTAACTTAAAAACATTCTTCAAATCTTGGCGCATGTTTGCTGGCATTCCATATATTCTTTTCAACTGAAAAACTTGCATAGACACTTCTCCTTAAATAGAAAGTTTCAACCAAAAATTAAGCTGTCCTTTTTTTTGGTATTTCACTTTTTTAAAGTGCTGAGAATATCTGGGAAACCTCTTATTTCCTGTTGACTCATTCTCCAAGGATCTTTATCTGTGATGCTCCTATGGTATCAGTGATTTCCCATGCCATGTAGCCCCTTGGGTGCACACTCTCAGCAGCCAGCTGCTTTGATCCCTGTCCTAACATCTCCTTGGTTTGCAGGACCTCCATGCAGTCACAGTCCTCCTATGGCTCCAACTCTCCACCACTCAGCAAAATGAACAGCATGAACAAGCTGCCCTCGGTCAGCCAGCTCATCAACCCCCAGCAGCGCAACGCCCTGACCCCAACCACCATCCCTGACAGCATGGGAACCAACAGTAAGAAACTCTTATTCCTCCTTCTCCTGTTGCCTGTGTGCTCCCTGCTAGTCTGGACAAGGAGACTTGGCATCTCCACACGGCTGCTGTTAAGCTGGAGAGCCTGGAGTCATTTGCTGTAAACCTGCGGAGCGAAATAAATATTGCTCGCTGGTGTGCCACGGGGCAAGGCTTCAGCATCCTGCTCAGAGCCTCACAGGGTGATCAGAGCTGCTTCTTGCTGCAGATCTAGCTGGCTGCACTGTCCTCTGGCTTTTGAGACTTGTTTCTTCTTCCTTTCCCAGCAGAGGAGATGCAAGTGTTGGCAGCATTTTTTTCCCTTGGTTCAATTAAGACAGTTCTTAATTTTAGAGGAAGCATCTCGCAGTTCTTTTCCTCCTGGCTGCTGCTGTGTGCTCAGCAGTCCTGTAAATCCAGGATGACAGACATGGTTCTGGGGGCTGAGTTTTGTTGGGGCTTTTTTTGGTTGGTGTTTTGTTTTTTAATTTATTTCAAAACAGCTGGACTCTTGCCCACACCTGTTGCTGAGCCCCTTCTGGTGCTCTTGCTGTCTCTGAAAACAAAGCTGTTTGGCTGCTGTATTAGGTTACTCTGCTGGCTCTGTCCTGCTCGTCTCCTGTGGCTAGGCAAGCCAGGGTTTCTATCCAGCCTGTCTGGGAGGGAAGGTGACGTGATGGTGGCACTTTTCTCCTGTGAGGGGAGAGCTCCAGAAGGACTGTCTCATCTGGTCCTTGGTCCTGCCTGAAACTTCTCATGAGCTCGCCCTGTGCAGAGTTTTACAGGGGATTTCAGGCTGCTTCAGCTGTGGATGCTGTCCTTGGGTGCTGTGCTGGGGGCAAAGCCAGGATCTGGGCATGCCTGGGTAACAATGTGCTCCTCCTTCTTCTCTCCTCCAGTTCCCATGATGGGCACCCACATGGCCATGACCGGTGACATGAATGGCCTCAGCCCCACGCAGGCGCTGCCTCCTCCCCTCTCCATGCCTTCAACGTCCCACTGCACCCCCCCTCCTCCATACCCCTCAGACTGCAGCATCGTCAGGTGAGCGGGAGCAGGCTGCCCGGCACGCTGCCCACACGAAGGGAGCAGAGCCCTTGGGTCTGGAGCCTGAGTGATCCTGGAGCACCGGATCCCACTGGGCTCTTGGCAGTCCTGAGGCTGGCACCCTCTGGGCACCGAGCCTCAAATCCCCACCTCTGAGCAGCTGAGAGAAACAGGGATGTTAGGACTGCAAGAAAGCTGAGGGATGCAGCATCTGTTGGACTGGTGGAGTTTGAGGGTGCCAGGCTGTCTTGCAAACATTTCTTGTTTTTCTTTTTTTCCCCTCTGGCCCCTTGACAAGCCGTGGCTGGGGTCAGAAGCCCCTCTGCCCTTTGTGAGGTCAAACCAGTTGAAAGATGCTGCCCGTGAATGAGGAATCCTTCACACTTAGGGAAGAATGTGCTGATTGGCAGTGCATGATGTGTCTGAGCCCTAGACCCCATGCCTTGCTAAAGCCCTCTGTGCATGCACCAGGCTGCCGTGGGCTCATCCACCTTCTGGGTGACGTGACCTGGCAGGAGGGTCTGTGTGAGCCCTCCTGCCTCAAGACCCAGGCTGTGCAGCACTGGCTCTTAACTTAGGCAAGGTGCTGCCATGAGGGCTGTCTGCTGGGTGCTGAGCTGAAGGACTCCCTCGTTTGTTTGATGTGGCAGCGATGTGGCTTGCTGGCCTGGGATGTCTTGGAGGAGGTCAAGCCAAGGGTGAAAGCTTTGTTTCCTGTTGCTGCAGATTGGCTGAGTGTTTGGTTTTTCTGTGGTTTGGGCTGTTGCAGCCAGGGTGATCCTATTTTCTCTCTCCTTCCTTCCTTCCTCCTCTGCAGCTTCTTAGCGAGGTTGGGCTGCTCATCCTGTGTGGATTATTTCACGACCCAGGGGCTGACCACCATCTATCAGATTGAGCATTACTCCATGGATGTAAGTAACTCCTCACCATTTCCTTTGTTTGCGCTCTTGGCCCTGCCTTAGGAACAGGTCAGAAATCCAAACTCAGTATACTTCTATTTTTACATTATTAGTTTGGTTTAAGGCTGTTGCACATAGAGGAGAGATGTTGTGAGGTAAAGAGAGGCTGGACTTGGGGCCAGCACTGTAACTGCCTTGCCTGGCACAGAGAAAGAGTGTCTCCCCTTCCCCAGCTCTGTCTGTCTGAGCCCCTGAAGTGGCCCCAGCCCACGCGCCTGTTAATTCTGCAAGGCTCGGTTTCAGTTTACACCTCACTTGCCTGCAGACAAGTAGGCTCTCCAGAAGTGGTCTGCAATTTTCCCTGCCTGCTTCTGTTTTCTGGCCTTACCTTAATCATCTTCCCTTGCCACTGGCATCTCATCCCTGTTTGTTGTTCTCACTTTTTTACTCTTGCATGGCTTTTGCCGCAGGGTTGCTGCTTCCTCTCAGGGCCATTGCTCTCTTCTGAGCTGGCTGTCCCATTTTTTTCCCCCCAAAACTTTGGGAGACTGTGGTTTACTGAGCTGTTGCTCCCTAGCATGGGCTGCCTTCCTTCCTGCTGCTGCTCTAATTAGAAAAGCTGACCCAAATTAACTGAAGTTGGTGGCTAATTTTTTCAGAAGCTAATACTGTGTATCCCAGAGTTTAGGTAATGCAATCCTCATGTTTTGCACCAGAAATGATGAGGCCTCAAAGTACAGGTTTTTTAAGGCTACGTGTCGGTTATTAAATTTGGTTACGTTAAAGTAATTAAGACAATTCCTGTTGAGTCACACTCAGAGCTCTGGATACTGGAGCTCAGGCTTGGATTCTAAAATCCTTTTGCAGGCTTTGTAATTAACATGGAAATTTTCAGCCATTGACTTTCAGCAACCCAGCATCCCCCACCGCTGACAGCCAGCAGATCAGCCTGAGGTTGTCTTGGAGGCCTTGCAGTCCAGTTAAGCTTCTAGCTGTAGGTCACTACATCTTATGCATGAACAAGTGTTTTGTGCAACTTAAAAATAGACTTTGTGCCTTCGAAGCAGGCTGTTGCTGCCTCGTGGCCACACATGCCTGTTCCAGAGTGAAGCACCATTTCCAGGAGTAGTGGTTTATCTTCTGCTGCACATCATGGCCCACCTGGGTTTTAGCAGCTTTGGTGGCTCTTGGTGGCCCAGAGGCTGTGTTCACTCCTTGTGAGCCCAGCTTGCCCTGGGATCCCCCTGGGATAAGCCCTAAGTGCTAAGCCCTGCACTTTGCCTTCCAGGATCTGGTGAGCCTCAAGATCCCGGAGCAGTTCCGCCATGCCATCTGGAAGGGCATCCTGGACCACCGGCAGCTCCATGACTTCTCCTCCCCTCCCCACCTGCTGCGCACCCCCAGCGGCGCCTCCACGGTGAGCGTGGGCTCGAGCGAGACGCGCGGGGAGCGGGTCATCGACGCCGTGCGCTTCACGCTGCGCCAAACCATCTCCTTCCCGCCCCGCGACGAGTGGAACGACTTCAACTTCGACATGGATGCCCGGCGCAACAAACAGCAACGCATCAAAGAGGAGGGGGAGTGAGACCC